TGATCGTCTTCCTGACTCTCTGCTGCTTCTGATTTTCAATAAGATCGGAGACGTGAAGGCTCTTGGACGTTGCTGTGCAGTTTCTCGCAGATTCCACTCGATCGTGTCTCAGGTTGATAACGTTGTTGTGCGAGTTGATTGTGTGATATCTGATGATGATTTCTCGTCCACCGCTTCCTCCTCAGATAAGTCTCGCAGCGCCTTTTCCAATTTGTTTCGTATGGTTCTTGGAGGCATTGTTAAGCCCCTTCAAGCGTTGGGTCAGTTCTTGGGCCCTAAACGTGTTACTTCCTCTGGGTTGGGTTCTGGTTCGTCGTCTTTGTCGACTTCTTCGCTTGCGGTTGGGAGGGAAGAGGACGGAGAGAGTGGTCAAAGTGGTGTGACTCATCACTCGCCTACTCAAGTTTTAAAGAATTTTAATGAGATACGGTTCCTTAGGATCGAGCTTCCTAGTGGCGAATTGGGTATTGATGATGGAATCTTGTTGAAATGGCGAGCTGATTTTGGGTCAACTTTGGATAATTGTGTGATCTTGGGTGCTGCATCGGTGACTCATGCTGGATCCTTCAAGCACATTCAAGAGAGTGGCACTGATGGGTTCTGCTCTGCCAATGGTGCAGCAGCTGACGACAGCGGGAGCATACCCGAATCATTTTATACAAATGGAGGGCTAAAACTGAGAGTAGTTTGGACAATTAGCTCCTTGATTGCGGCTTCAGCTAGACATTATTTATTGCAGCCGATAATTGCGGAGCATAAAACTCTGGATAATTTGGTTCTGACTGATGCAGATGGACAAGGCATGTTGTGTATGAACAAGGATCAGCTTGAGGAGTTGAGAGTGAAGCCGTTATCGGCTTCAACTGCATCAAAGAGAACTCTTGTTCCAGCCCTGAATATGAGGCTTTGGTATGCGCCTCACTTGGAATTGCCCGGTGGGATTATTCTGAAGGGGGCAACACTTGTTGCGATTCGTCCGAGCGAGCAGTCAATGACAAAGAAAGAGGTATCTGATGGGTCATGGCTTTCAAACGCTTTTGAGGAACCTTATGGAATCGCAGCAAAGATACTGGTGAAAAGGCGAACTTACTGTCTTGAGATGAATTCTTTCTGATAACTTCAACTGAATCCGAGGTAATTCCCTTTACGGTTGCAGATGCCCCATCCCAAAATTAATAGCACAGTAGTTATAAATTCACTGAAATTGTAAAGGAAGCCTGGTTATGTGGTATTTATCAACTCTCTGCTAATCACATGTTCGAGTTGGGCAGCTAATTATGCTCTATAATTCTCTTATATCTAAAATTGTGCGGGCCTGCTTAGATCTTTTGTAATAAACTGGATCTCAATTTATAAGGATATATGTTTCTAATAATCTGGATGTTCAATTGAGCGAGTTAGTTATATTATATGTGAAATTTTTACAACAAGAGAATGCCCAGATAGAATCCAATCAAAATACAAAAATGCTTACCCATTGGTTTTGTATTCTACTTGCACATGTTATCGAAGCGCTTCGTCTGTAGTACTTAAAACAAAAAGCTATTATTGCTAGGGGGCGGGAGCACTAGAAGAAATGCTCTGCAGTACATGATTATTGATAGGTATCACTATCATTTTTAGGACATGGGGATATATAGACAGGACAGCCGTTAAGTGTACTAGGAGTTGATTAAGAAGTTACCATTTGACTTAAATGTGAGGAATTAGTTGAAAGTAGCTTAGTTTTGGTCATTAACCCTACTGAAAGTAAGCCCTACTTTCAATTTATTAGATTCTGCTTTCTTATGAACTTTGCACCCACTTTGCTTCTTTCATTCTTTCTCTTAGTGTGTTCTTTTCATTCACTTGTTTTTATCATTTAAATCCTTGTACTTAATTAGCACGGAATGGAATTTCAGATAAAGAGAAGATTGGTAGTGGGGGGAGTGCATGTTTTTGGAAGTAGGATGCTGGAAACACCTTGTTTCATGCATCACCAAATTATCATGTCCGAGGAAGCCTAGTTACAATCAAATTGCAGCATGCTCAGCTACCCATGGTTGATTTTAGCTTGAAGAATGGGCGAATTCTGCTTGAAGAAGTGAGATAATTGAAATCCTTACTCTACTTGGTCTATATTCGATATACTACTTGCAAAAGTTCAAAAATACAAATAGATATGATGTTGTAAAAGCCCTGTTGTAGTCTTTTGTTTCTTCTATGTGAATATGATCTAGTTCTATCAAGTAATTGCATCCTAATGAATTGATTGTGTGACGGTGTCAGTTCTTTTAAGTAGTTGATGAATTGATGGAAATGAGCAAATCTGAAATCTGAGAGCTTTGGTGAACTTTGCAAAATTATGTTCGTAGTAATCTTTATTAAGAGAACATGCTTTGTCGAGTTATGATGGTTAGATAAAATATCAAGCCTTGGTCTTTGATGCCACAACTTGCTCATCTTTCTTATTGTGAACCCTTTAGCAACCTTAAATTTGGCAATGAAAGCAACAAACACTTTAAGAGTCAAAATGGATTCATCTGAAACAAAATTCTTCATTAAGTCATGCCCTTTCAGAGGTGTTTTTTGTCATTTTAAAGTGGTGGTTCACACAAGTTATGATTGATGTACTCAAAGGTGTGTTTGTAGGTTGTAGCATTCTTGGAAATCACTCGAACGTCTGATAAGATGTCAGAGAAAGAACTTTTGAGGAAATTGGGCTTTTCTTGGGAATGCTTCTGGGGCTCTGAAAGAGTGGATTTATCTGCTATTCTAAATGAATTAATGATTGGTTTGAACCATTTAAATTTGAGAATTTAGGTCAATCTGGTTATAATTAATAGTTAAGTGTGGACTTTGTGGAGCACATGGACAGTCTTCAGATGTGGAAAATTTGGAAGGGCACTGCGGAGTTTAGAATGGTTTATTGCAGAGTGACTATCTTTTTCTTTATCAAGGAAACAGCATATACCCCGTTAGTTTTTCCTATTTTAATTTATCTTCTTTCTTTCTGTGAGGTGATATATATCTTAATCATTTGAGGTATAGGTGTATTCCTTCTATTTATTGTTTGTCGTGCTAGTGTCATATGGGTCAAAATCATATTTATAAATGCAAATTCGTAGTGTGAACAATACGAGTATGATACTATTGCAGTATTAGAAAATTTTTTCATTACTTTTTGTTGCAACATTTGCGGGGCTGAATAATAAGTTTCATAATCAATCATTTTTGGTTTGATAGTAATTAGCTGATTGTGATTAACTGTTAATCACATGGGATTCTCCTCAGTTCTCTGCCTGATTAAAATCCTATTTCAAAAACCATTTGCCTAATCAAAAGACAAAAACTTTTGGGCGATTTGCTTGTGCAATAGTAACTCAATTAAAATCATTTCCCTTTTCATAGATCATGTTCGGTAAATTAAAAAATTGAATTTATGAAATCTTAAACTCAATTGATTTTTAAGGTATTCTTTAGATAGTGATTTTGAAAAATCAATTATACTTAAAAGTTAGCTATTCCAACACTTTCTAATCTAAATTACCATATTTGGGTGCAATTTAAATTTTCGTTAGAGGAATGAAGGATTTGTTGAGTACTTTCAATCTAAGCATTTAACAAAAAAAGTAACTAACACAGCTATGCTTGCAAGCGGTTTAAAGCAAAGCACCTTCTAATATAAATTATCATTTTTAGGTATAAATTTCTTTGAAAGAAGTAGAACAAAGTATTTGTTGTGTACTTTTGATCCAAATGTTTTAACAAAATCAGTTGAAAGTATTTCTAAAGGCTTAAAGTCAAAATGTGAGTGATTTATCATTAAACACTTTTATACTTGTAATCATAACCAAGCTGAGCTACCTAACTATCATTTCTATTAAGAACAATGATAGATTTCATCCCTGAGACTGAAGCATCGTTGCCTATTATTTTGTTTTTGAGTACAACAAGTAAAATGGGGGATTCAAACTTGTGACTTCTTAATCACAGACAAGTGTCAATTATCGTTGAACTAAATTTATGTAGTTCAACTCATGTTGGTCAAGAAATTCAATTCAAGTCATTTGTATCTAGAATCACTTAATCAAATCCCGTCCAGTCGGTCAACCATGATGAACAAGGATTAAATCAATAAAATAAATAATAATAATAATTAAATTAAAAAACAAGGCGAAGAAGAAAAAACACATGTTTCTTTCAACTAACTTAAAACTGACAATGGGATTTTTATTCAAAAAAGAAATCAATACAAAACAACTCCACAAATAAAGGGGAAGGATTTCAAGGGAAAAACTGCCAGTGCTTAAAACACTGCACACAATAGCTATTAAAAACAAGGCTTCCAAAGACTTGCAACAATAAGGGAAATTACATTCAAAATCTGGAACAAAAAAGGTTTCTCCAGACGGCAAATACTTGTGTTTTAAATTGAGACCTCTCCTGCAGCAACCAAATAACAGAATCGACAGATTGGAACAGAACCTGCCTCAGCTTCTAAGTCTCCCTTCTTGCACTTTCATATTCCTAAATCATTCAAACATTTCTACGTCTTATTATTGTTCATACATTCGTTGCGTTTTCTTTTTGGTGAATGAACATGTATTATTCTCATAGGAAATAGGAAAACTTGTAGTAGCATGAAATCAGAATATGGACATGAGGAAACTCCACAACACAAGTTAACAGAGATCTAGCTATAGTATTGGAAATTATATTGAGAATTCCTCTTCCTAAACAGATCCAACAGCAGGCTAGATAAGTATCCACTCCAAGAAATTGTTCAAGGAACCAATTCATAATTATCATAATGTTAAGGATAGGTATCCAAATATCTCTACAATGGTATGATATTGTTCGCTTTGGACATAGCCCTCATAGTTTTACTTTTGGTTTCACCCCAAAAAATCTTGATCTAATGGAGATAATTGCCCTCCTTTACATACCATAGATCACTCTCTTTCCTACCTTGCTACACGGACCATCCTGTGGGAACACCCGCTATATAATCTAAACTTAATTATGTTATTGCAGAACAAGCAAAGTGTATCAGTCCTACAATTCCACCTTGACATACTTTCGTTGTGGCTATCCTATCTCAGTCTATTCATGTATACATTATATAAACAGTATCCGAGGTTTATGCCCTATGATATATTTCTAAACTATAACATTAATTTCATTACAGATTTTACACAATTTGTATCTTTGGACTTCACATTCAAATATTTTTATCATGTTAGGCTACTAGTAAGTAGTTAACACCTATTCAACACGAATCACCACCATTGATTTCAAATAACCTATATATATAAGGTAAAAATTACCTTCTCTATATTCAGATCTCCAGCACGACCAACTTTTCGCAGCCTGATGTGTCATATATGAACTCAAGAACAGAGCAAAGAAGCATTCCTCAACCAACTTCTAAGGCAATCTATTCGAAGCTGCACTTAACCTTATTCAAATCTCATTCTGCGCCTCATTTGGACAAGCATTCTCAAAGGGTCAATCAGCGCTCCTAGCGTACTCAACCAATGAAGTGGGATTGTTTCTATTAACATTATGCTCAAATCTACAGCACATTTAATGCTTACACAACATGACAAAGCTCGAGGGAACACAATACATCTATAAGGAATACAAAATTCCATTAATGACTTGTTCCAGATCCCTTTTCTATCATGTCCATGCATACTGGTAATTTAGGAGAGAATCATGGAGACTGATGAAGATACAATCTGGGAAAATTTCCTCATTTGGTTCCAACCATTTATATTTATAGGCGACTATATCCTACCTGTGAAAGTCAAGGATTTGTATTCTTGCTCTCTTGCTGTCTGTAGAATTAATCTTCTATCTCCCTATCAAACAAGAAGACTAGGTATTACAGCTTTTTCTATTTCCCTTCTATGACTGTTTTTCTTCCATGATATCCTTCATAATTATTCTTGAAAAAAAGAGGCTTGTCCTTAAGAGTTCAATAATTTTGTAAAATCAATCCCCATGGTCAGTGATCTACTCTAGTTGATATGCATACCTGGCAAGAATATCATCTTTTGTTGTACAAAATACAAAAAGAAAGTTTCTAGGTGTCCTCTCCATCCAACAGTCCATCTTGAACTTTCTTAGGTTTTCTAGGCATGGTCTCTTTCCTCCTATATACTTGCTCTAGTTTAGGCAAAACTAAATACCGACGCAGTTGAGGCTTTAGCGACGTTAATTTTCATCACTATAGATCATAATTCTTGTATTTGAATAACCAATGTAGTCCTACAACTTCAGTTCACTGGTACCAGATGATCTCTCCTATGGTGGTAGTACAAGAGCTCTCTCAAATACTCACAAAAATTTCTCTCCTACGGTGCAAGAAAATAATTATTAAATTTTTGTTCCAATTAATAAAAAAATAGAAAATAGTTTTGAATCCATAGGATATATTATTGGTTAGAACTGAAACAAAATTGTTGTAATAAATAGATTGAGACGCCAAAGTGGCATTTTGATACTCATTGTTCATTTGACATCAACTTAAATGTGAGTTATTTTTATTAGTACAATTTGTAAGGATAGGGGATCGAACTCACCATCTCTTGGTTGGAGATTATACTAATTACTGTTGAGCTATGCTCGCTTTGGTAGATAATGTCTCTGGTTGATTTATACACTGAGTAGATAATTATGGACAAGTAATTATAATATTATAGTCACAAGTCAGAGGTTCGATTTTGATATAAAACAAAATTTCTATTAAAATAGACTAGGAGAACAAGGACTTAAACATCCGGGAAAAAAAAACAAGGACTTTGAACAATTTTTTAATTTTATAAAGTCTAAGGACAAAAGCATAAAAATTGAAAGTTAAAAAATAAAATAAAATAAATATGAAAGTTAGAAATAAAATAGGATTTAAACTATACGTGAATAAGATAATTATGCATATAGCAATTAATAAATAGGTAAAAACCCTTTTTTTTTGGTCTAATTACACATGTAATATTTAGTCCAAATTTTAAGAGAAAAAAAAAAAAAGATAACCTAGCAGTACGGAATTCCTTTCAGGAGAAAAAAATATTACACATTTTTGTTTCTTTTTTTTCAGGAGAAAAAAAAAAGATAACCTAGCAGTACGGAATTCCTAGAATATATGTCATAACTAGTTGAGTTACTAACGTGTGAGGGTAGGGTCGAACTCACAACCTCATCGTTTGAGGTATATGCTAGCTCACCTTGGTGAAAAAACAAACTAATTGGTAGGTATATGAAATTTTGATTATTGCTTACTTAATTAATGGAGTCCTTAATTTATACTATATTCAAATGGAGATACTTGTTATCATTCATTTAGTTTTTTTTTTTCTTTCTTAAAACACATTCATTTAGTTAAAAGAGAAGAAAAAATATTCTGATTTCTGAGTGAACTAGAGAGGAAATTTATTTGTCTAAAGTCAAAAACATTAAATAAAACCATGAAAAGAAATCTACACAATTGTAAAACCAAAATAATAATAATAATAAGGGAAAGAAATTCATTTGTAAAATAAAACCATTAAAAAAATTAACAGCTAATTCTACTCGATAATAAATATGCAGAAATCGTTAGTTCAAATCGTCCATCCCTATATTGTACTAAAAAAAAGTTTCACTACTATACTAACATTTGAAAAAATTATGTTGGTGAGTTGATAAATCAATAGCCAACATGAACATAATTAAGTGGTTAAAACACCTAATATATTTTTTTAGAGATCTATTCATCTGTGTTAAAAAGAAAGAGAGAGAAAATAAAAATAAAACTTATGCATCAATCATCTCTAAATCATCTCCATGAAGGTACTGAGCTGTTCCTATTGGTACAACACTACTAGTTTTTAAATCTTTTTAACAACATTGTCAACTTTTTAGTAATGTATCAAAGCAAGATCCCATCAACTGCGACAATCTGACTGCCAAAGCAAGACCACATATTGACATCGATCAACAAATATAAAGTAAAACAAAGAAAGAGGTTAACAGTTTTTGACTTGTTGCTGCCTCTTTGTATAAGACAGTCATTTTTATGTCCAATGTGTACGTGCATGGAGTTTGCAGAGTCTAAGTCAGCTTGTCCTGATTCTCAAATTCAAGGTAGAAGAAGAAGAAGACACGAGAAGAGGGCATTTATTTCCCAAACTTAAGACTTATTCTAAGCAGAAGGGAAGAGAAACCAACATTAGCTGAGCCCGAGGCCATTGTTGCCGCCGAATTGACGGCAGTTTGGTTCTTAGATATAAAGCAAAATCTGTTTCATTTTTGTAGAAGTGCGTTATTTCCACTAACTGAGTTACAGATGGCACTGCGAACTCAAAGCCTAGCCCTTCTCGTTGCTAGTCAGAAGGAGAAGCAACA